CACACACACATACATGCAGACATACATGACATACCTACCTACCTACCTACCTACCTACCTACCTACCTACCTACGTACGTACAAGGAATGGCTATGTACGTAGCAACATCCATCTGTTCCCACATATAGACATTGCAATGATAGTATGCAAGATTACAAACGCAGAGACACCAACAACTTCGTCAATAATACGACTTGCGCGGACGGAATCCTACACCGCTGCTCCAAGAGCCTGGCTCCTCGATCCTGAGGTCCCGGCGAGCGTCTCATCTACCTGGCAGCACGACTCCCTTCGGGGGGGGGGGGGTCAAGGATGAACTCAACCTTAGACTCTAAAACCCTGAATACAGAATATATGGGTCTGGAGTTTAGGGCTGAGCGGTTTGACGAATTCTCAGTTGACAGAAGCGTAAAAAGGTGCCCTAGATTGCTAGCATCTGCCGCCATCGAATTTTGCCATTTAGGCTAGTTTCGGATGTCGGGGTCGGCGACGGCTTAGGGTTCAGGGTTTGGCAAGTCGCGAAAATTTGGAGCGTCGGGACTTTCAGCATGCATGCCCTGTGTGAGCAAGCTTAGGCTCTCCAGAGCGCAGAAGCCAAGGCAACGAAGGCCCAGGATCCAAAGACAGCAGGCTTTTTTGAGGCAGACTTAGAGCACGGGCCGTGGGCCAGTAGTCCGTGGGCTATGGTTTGGGGCTCTCTTGGCTCAAGGTCTTGGGTTTAGCTTTCAGAGTCTAGGGGTAAGGCTTCGGGGTTTAGTTTGGGGTTACCGGTAAAAGGTTTTGTTTTGGAAAAGCGGCTATTTTGCGGGGTGGATCTCGAGGCCTCCAGAGGCCTTGTGCCAGTGCAAGCAGCCGGAGCTTACACCCACAGCACAATTCCCCGTAACCCAGGAAACTATAACCTTTACCCTCAAAGGACTCATAGCTTCAGGCTTTGGGGCCTAAAGACCTAATTATAAGAGGCTTTTGGGCTATGTTAATGCTACAGGCAAGTGGGTTACTCTAAATCAAACACCCTTGAAATGAGGAACATGCCTGAACTTCTCTCAGGGGGTGAATGTTGCGACTTCAGATGCAATTCGTGACTGAAGGGAATCGGGCTGTCTGAGAGCAGTAGGCTTGCGGACTTAGAGCCGTCCTACAGGGCCTGCTTTTCCCACCCACGTCAGGGTTTCGGAGCACCAGAGAGACAGTACCCAAAACTTTAGATTTCTATTAGGGGCAGGTTTTTCATAGATGATTTTGTTTAGGTGCTATTGGGATCTGAAACTCTAATTTCAAAACGAACTCAGCCATGCCTCCCCGAACAGCCTTGCACTTACATATAATCTGCTGTGTAGCTCCTTCTTCCGGGCACCTTGCCATGTATGAAAGGACAGCAACCACAAGCATCGCTCAAACAAGAACTGTATTAAAGACGTTTGGTAGTTCCTCGAATCAAACCTCCAAATCTCAACACCTAACCCAAGACCCCAAGCCCGAAACCCTCAACCCTACACCCAAGACCCCAAACCCTAAAACCTAAACCCCCAGACCCAACGCGCTGAACCCAAGGCCCAAAGTCTTGAACTTCAAAGATTCCCAAGCCCTGAACCCAGCAGCTAAGTAACAACATAGTAGAAAGCAGGGTTCCTATAGTAGGAATTACTCCTAAGGCTAGGAGAAGTATCCCCCATATACGTACATCTGACCCTTTGCCTTTGGGTACTTGGGGTCTTTACATTCCTTAGCTAGGGGGGCTAGACACCCTAAACCCCAAACCCTAAACCCCAAATCCTAAACCCTAAACCCTACACCCTAAACCCTAAACCCTACACCCTAAACCCCAAATCCCTGAACTTCAAGGTGGCTGCCTGCTTCATGTCATAGGACAGTCGGTTGATGAGGCGGCCCACGGGCTGCTTGTCGAAAAACCTGCACACTGGCTTGGGTTTAGTTGTTTTTGTTTGTTTCGTTTTAGGGTCTAGGGTTTAGGCTTTTTGCCTCCTACTTGGCAAGGACGAGTCCGCATTGCAGGGTTTAGGGCATAGGTTCAGGTTCATGGCGTAGGGTTGCTTCTGTGGTGTGCAGGGTGGGGTGGGGTGGGATCGGGTGCGATCTGGTAGCGCTTTCAACCACAGGGTGGGGGGGGGGGGGGGGGGGTGTATATTGCCGTCCGGAACTTGAACCATAACGGGGCCTTCCTATTAATATTGATGAATGACTACTCATACCCCTGGACCTCATAACCCTATAAGCTCTAAACATTAAATCCCCAAGCTCTACACAGATAAACCCTAAACCCCTACACCCCAAACCCTAGAATCCTCAAAGTCTACACAGAGAAACCCTAAACCCTAAACCCTAAACCCTAAACCCTAAACCCTATGCTACCCGCGCCCCGCCTGTCCACCGGAGCATTCAGAAGGCTCGTGACGCAGCATTCGTGGATCTTCCTGCGCGGTTTAGGGTTTAGGGTTTAGGGTTTAGGGTTCAGGGTTTAGGCTTTCGGGTTCAGGGTTTTGATATGTGCGACCTTCAGGGCTTATAGGGTTTAGGTCTTAGGGCTTAGGGTTTAAAATATTGTCCATTATGGTGTTAAGGGTTTGTCTTATCCCGAAATAACCTACCTTTCACCAGCCGATGGCATGGAACGCTCGTACGGTACAGGTTTTTGCAGGGACTGTTCGCAACATCCCAGAATCCCCCCACAAGAAGTGACAACCTTTCCGGCATAGTTGCTTACCGGCCTGCGGCTACAACTCTTCAGGACTTCTCATCATGATTTCTTTGTACCAGCATCGTGAACCATACCCTGAATCCTTTTTACAACTGGGCGCTGCATATGCCAGGAACCGAGACACCGACTATGCTGTGGACTCGTGCCACACGGATATCCCGGACTGCCAAAACTGATCAACTGGTCATCCCAAGCTTCAGGATGAAATGACCACGCAGCCACGCGCTCAGAGGAAGCAAGCTTTCCCGAATTGTGCACAAGGCGCTCATGACGTTCGAACCCTGAAGCCTAAAGCCCTACGCCCCAACCTCCTGGACCCTAAATCGCCTAAATCCATGAACGTGGATCCTACAAACAAGCGGGGACTTACCATGGAGTCTGAGACGGCCAGAAACGACGGGTTCAGAGCTTTTGAGCTGCTTTTTGGAATCAGGGTACAGTCTTCCTAAACCCTTTTTTTGAGCAGGGACTGCAATTCTTCCTAAACTCTAAACCCTGAATTCGGATTTAGGGCTCAAGGCTAGGTTCAGTTCACCGTCCTCGCCGAGGTGAGAGCAACATTCGCCGTGGCGTAGTAGACGATGAGGATGGTTGCCTCGATGGCTTTAGGAGCAAGTTTCGAAGTCTAGACCTAAAGGGTTTAGGGTTTAGGATTTAGGGTAAGTTCAAGGGATTAAAGTCGAGGGAGAGGCAGCTTCGTAAGGATTAAGGGCTTAGGGGTGGATGTGAGATGATGTCCCTTAAACTTACACATGCATGATCACATATCTATCTGTCTATCTATGTATTTATCTATCTATCTACCTATCTATCTATCTATCTACCTATCTATCTATCCATCTACCCATCTATCTATCTAGCTATCTACCTATCTACCTAGCTACCTATCTACCTATCTACCTATCTACCTATCTATCTATCTATCTATCTATCAATCTATCAATCTATCTATCAATCAATCTATCTATCTATCTATCTATCCATCTATCTATCTATCTATCTATCTATCTATCTATCATATCTCTATGTATCTTTTTCTATCTTTGCATATTCGAGACATGTGCAAGCACATATGCATGCATACATACATGCATACATCCGTACGTACATACATACATACATACATACAAGCATATATGCAGACATACATCAACCAATAGATATATACAGTCATACATGTACACACACACACACATCTGTGTTTGTGTATAGATGGATGTATGTATGCGTGAAAAAATATTAGCCTTACAACATGGATTCTGGTAGAATTATATTCGCCGCACGACAACGGCTCCAGAAAATGGGCCGAAATGACAAGGAATATTCGATGAACATTCGTGAAGTTCAGAGTCTAGGTTCGCGAAGACAGGGAGAAAGCTTGCAGCCTGCCAACTCGGAGTTCACGACCACCCTACGCGAATAGGTCCGGCTAAACACTGAGGCACTGGACAGACAGCTAGGGTTTAGGGTTTAGGGTGCTTGGCTTTTGATTCGGGGCGATCTTGAGCCCAGAACTGGCGCAGAACCGTGATCCATAAACCGTAGGTCGCGGGTTACAGATTGACTAACTTCAGATGTGGGAGACCCATGAAAGCCGGTAGTCTGAATGAACAGTAGAGCATCTTTTATTATGCTATGTTGCGCTATTTATGATATGATGAGATATTCTGCTTCAGTTTTTCCACTAGCACACGCAGACCAAATTCTGGTTTCGTTTAGCTGGCTGAAGCGTCCAAGCGTGCAGCTATCCGATTCGGGTGAAAACGTGAAGCCGAAATACAGCAAGCCAGCCTCCAACAGCCTAATACGGGGGGCCTTGATGGTTAGACTAGGGTTTAGGGCATACATGGTACAATTGTAATCGTATGTTTCAGGAACAGTAGTGGTAGTATTTCCGATCGATGGAAGCTCAGAGCAATAAACCTACAGATTCTACCATGCAGGACAAGGCACGCAGGCGGCGGCCACGACCAGGATCAGGCGTTTTCTCGGTTCCACATCAGGTCGAGGGTAGAGGGTTACGGAATTGAACATATGCCGACGAAGCCCCCAACTGGCAAACCCTACTTGAGGGCTCAGGGGACGTACTCAGCCAGGTTATACCAATCATGACCCGGTTACTCCCAGATCCGCAAGCGTACCTGCCATACGATAGGAAACACGTTTTTGCAATCACCTAACACCCTAAACCCTAAACCCTACAGCCGCAACAATACCAATGTCCGGCGGTCGCTTTAGCACAACCGAGGCCTGGATCATTCGGCCCTCTAATTTCTGGAACTGACTCTGTTTCGGGCTGAAGTTCCGGAACATGCGCATGCAGGCCTTATCCAAGGAGCTGCTTACAGTTCAGGCATCAAGGGATGGCACCAGGATTCAGAGTAGATTCAGATCAGTCAGGCTTTTTGCTTGAGTTATCACTACCTTTGACGACACCTATGTTTGAAGTGAGGGACAAAGGTTGTGCTGCAATGAGATCCAAGGTGAATTCCTGAATTATGTTGTATTGGGCTCTCTTTGACCTTTTGACCTTTGGCTGCTAGCACCAGCTGACAGATTTCGACACATACCCCGAAGAAAGCACCGAGAGGCATGAACAACATGTCGTCCACCTCTGGATTTACAACCTGTGCGTCAGATTAGCTGCTGAAGGTAGGTCGAGGAAGTGTGCATTATCGGTGAGATTTGTTGAACCGAGGTGAGGACTAAGGACTTGTAGAATTCACGCTCTCGCAAGTCGGAACACGTCCTGAGGTTGTCGGATTTAGGGCACATGATGCTCAGGTTTTGGGGTTCGTGGTTTCCATGTACGCATACTCTCATTGAGGGTCTGGGTTGTCATGCTCAGCAATTACACCTTATATATAAAGCCTCGTTAGACCCGATCGCGCGTTTAAACCTAAACCCCTACCCTACACCCTAAACCCTAAACCCTTTTTTTGAGCAGGGACTGCAATGCACTAAACCCTAAACCCCTAAACCCTAAACCCTAAACCCCAAACGTCCGATAAGGGCCGCTATAGCACCTTGAGCGTTTGACCCGGGGTCTTCCCAAATCCGCTGCTAAGGAGCCTTGCATAAATTCTCAGAGGATCCCCAAGATGTTTAGGGCTTTGGGGTTAGGGTTTAGGGTTTAGGGGTTTAGGGATTATGAAGCATAATAAAGCTCTATTCCTAGACATTTGGGTGATTTAATAAGGAGTATATGTTGCACTAATGTAGAGACATTAATAATTAGAATAAGGTTTTCGGGGGCCCATGATGCTAGAATTGTAATAAGGAGCCCGCAAAATAGTATAGGTACTTACTCTAGGCACCTATATGAGCCCACCATACTTCTCATTCAAGGTCAAGGTTCCCAAATCATCAGGCCCCGATATTACCGCACCGGGGTGAGGGTTTAGGGTTTATGGTAATTACTATTATGGTTTGGGTAAGCTTCCCCCCCACATAGGTACTTATACTGGTACTTATGACCCTCTGCAAAACCCTAAACCCCTGAACCCTAAACCCTGACTACTAACCCAATGCCCTATACCCTATGCCCCTCAACCCCCAAATTGCCAAACCCACCGTGTACCCTCCACCCTAAACCCTAACTACCAACCCAATGCCCTAAACCCTAAACCCCTAATAGACCCGCGACCCTAGACTCCATTCCCAAACTCGGCGGGGCTATGGAGGCTCTGGGAAAGCCAATGGCAGCTGATGTGACTTGGCGCATCTCAGCTTGGGGCTGCGGGCTTTTAGGATCTACAGGGGTTTAGGGTGTAGTTCAGGGCTTGGGGTTTAGGGTTTGGGGTTTAGGGTTTGGGGTTTAGGGTTTAGGGGTTTAGGGGTTTGGGGTTTAGGTTTAGGGTTTAGGGGTTTAGGGGTTAGTTCAGGGTTATGTTCAGGGTCTGGGGTTTGGCTATATTCAGGATACCGGGTTTAGGAGTATCGGCGCTCACGCTCGGTAGGAGTTTAGGGTTTGAGGGTGATTTTTTAGGATTGAAGGAGAGATGCGGCGGATCATGAAGCTTCGCGTTATGTTGGACTACAGAAAGTATCAAAGAAACATGATCCCAACCGGCTAAAGCCTTAGACACATCACCAAACTTCACCTAAACCCTAAACCCTAAAGCTTAAACCCTTAAGCCCTAAAGCCAAGCCGTAAGCCCTAAAGATTAAACCCTCAAGCCCTAAATCCTAAACCCTAAACCCTAATCCCCTAAATCCTAAACCCTCAACCCTGAACCCGAAAGCCAAGCCCTGAACCCTGAAGCCCTAACCTTGGTGTCGATCCAGACTGCCAGCACCAAACTCTCGCGGAGCTCCTTGGCAGCCGTTGTTTAGGGTTTAGGGTTTAGGTTTAGTTTGGCGTTTATAATATAGGGTAGTTGGTAGTTGAAGGTTTAGGTTTAGGGCTTAGGGTCTAGGGTAGTTTAGGGTTTTGTGTAGTTTAGGGTTTAGGATTGTGTACGCTCTCGCAACTCGGACTCCGCCAGACGAGGTCTCTGTGTCCAACTACGCCAGAATGACTGCGTATCGAGGTGGGTTGTTTGGGGTTTAGGGTAGTTGAAGGTTTAGGTTTAGGGCTTAGGGTCTGACGTAGTTTAGGGTTTAGGGCAGTTTAAGATTTAGGGTAGCTTGGGGCTTCGGGCAGTTTGGGGTTTAGGCACTTTGTTGTTTAGTGTAGGGTAGTTTAGGGTCTAGGGTAGCTCTGGGTCGGGGCTTCATATTTGGCGCTCGGGATTTCGGTTTAGAGTACTGGGTCAAGGGTATTAGGCAATAGGGTTAAGGTTAGTGGTGCCTACAGTTAGGGGTTCTATGGCGGCATGTCAAGGTTGTTAGGGTTTAAACGTCAGTGATTTGGGTTTAAATGTGTACTGTAAGTGTGGCTTCGCGTGAAAAACATAGTAGAGGTCTCAGTCGTCGTCGCAGCAGTAACATGACTAGTCGTTGTTGTGGTTGCTGTGGTCGCCATTGCCGTCGCGGTCATCGTCGTCGTCGTCGTCGTTGTCATCGTCATCACCGTCGTCGTCGTCGTCGTCTTAATAGTAGTGGTAGTAGTGGTAGCA